ATGTTTAACAACCAAGGGCCACTTCAGAACAAGCGTCTAAACTGTTGTATGTGCTAAGTTTGGTTTGGCACAAAATGGCAAAGAAGCCGTGAGAAGTTTTTGAAGACAACTTTTGCCCAAAAGTAATGCGTCCAATATGGCGCCATCATATAAAGATAGGCACATTTGGCGATGCTACTGTGTAGAAACATGCATAGACACAAAGTATGCAAAGTTTGAAAGCAGTAGCCCTTGTGGTTTTAATGCAGCACATTTTGGGAGGTATGCAGTCAGGATTTTGCTGAAAAACATCACCAAAACTTCAATCCCAAATAAGCGTCCAAGCGGTGCATTTTAGCGACTTGAGCCGTCAGAAGCGAGAATTGTAGGCATTTTTGATTGCGCATCAGCTCAAGAACTTTGGTAAACATTGGAGCATTAGTTTTGGAGATTTTTGCATTTGCATTTGAAATTTTTGAATTAATTTTTGAATTATCTGCCCTTTGCTATTGGGCCTACAGCCTAGGGATTTTAAAGCGCGATATGCATGTACCCTCGGTGGGCATCTGGGTGAATTTTTCAAGGCATTCTGTCAGCGGTGCTCTCTGTAGGTCTGGTACAAAATCTGGTAGGATGAATAAATAATAATAATAATAAAAACATTAACGATTACAATAGGTCTCCTGCCTAAAAGGCAAAGGAGCCCTAATTAAAATCGTTATTTTGAGTTTTTCGGGGTTTGACCCCGAGACTTGATAGTATGTCGAAAATGCTTCGTAATGGTCAAGGTCACCAAGGTCACGGGGGTCAAGGTCATTTGACCGGTCCGTCACAAGACAAAAACAAGTTTTTGGCGAGCTAAGGACGCCGTTGTTATTACCTCTAGGGTGAAAAGAATTAGTGTTTCTGCTTTGCCCCAGACCCGATGTATCATATGCGCGGGTCAGATTTGGTGACAAATATGTCCGCCCGTCTGTCCATAAAGTCTGTCCGCCAAATTACTGTATAGCCATTTTCTCGGAACTATTAAACATACAGAGTTGAGATTTTGCAGACAGCATCCCATTCATTGTGTCTAATGATGCCGTAAAATCAAGTCATTTGAATTTCAACTTCTGTTCCCCATGGCAACCTGAAAATGAAAAAACTTCAATCAAGATGGCGGTAAGCGGCTAGAGGTATCGATCTGGGACTACCAGACAAAATGATGGGCATCTCATGACCAACTCACATACCAAATATGGATGCGATTGGGACAATAGTGGTGGAGTTATATGCTGTTTTATGCGTTTTAGACACATAATGCATTTGTGCAATTTTTCAATGCCATATGGCCGACAAACAATCAAATTTTTTGATATGCATGTAAGAACACGAAATGTTAAGCATCCTATGTTGATGCATACTGCCAAGTTTTACTGCCTTCTGTGCAGAATCTGACCAGCTATGCTGTTTATAATGTAGTATCATCAGAATCTGATGAGAAATCCAATATGGCCGCCAAGCAATACACATTTTGACATGCACCCAAGAACAAAAAATGTTCAACATACCAAGTTACTACGTACTGCTAGATTCTAGCTGCATAGTTGAAATAGTAATGGCGCTGCGATTTTTGAAAATACATTTTAGTACAAAATAAACAACAGAAGTAAACATCTAGTTATCCGTAACTAATAAAGATATCGCCAATATAACCTATGAGCATTAATATTTGAGGTATATTATGTATATCTGCACATTTACAGCGTTCTGCAGTTCATACATTCAGAGTAATGGATTGCGAAAAATGCCTACCCACAAAATCTGCAAATCTCGATAAACCTCTTCAATCCAATATGGCCGCCGCATCGCGTGACTTTTTTGACATAGGACCAAGAACAGAAAATGTTTAACAACCAAGGGCCACTTCAGAACAAGCGTCTAAACTGTTGTATGTGCTAAGTTTGGTTTGCGCACAAAATGGCAAAGAAGCCCGTGAAAGTTTTTTGAAGACAACTTTTGCCCAAAAGTAGCGTCCAATATGGCGGCCATCATATAAAGATAGGCACATTTGACGATGCTACTGTGTAGAAACATGCATAGACACAAAGTATGCAAAGTTTGAAAGCAGTAGCCCTTGTAGTTTTAATGCAGCACATTTTGGAGGTATGCAGTCAGGATTTTGCTGAAAACATCACCAAAACTTCAATCCCAAATAAGCGTCCAAGCGGTGCATTTTTTAGCGACTTGAGCCGTCCAGAAGAAAGTGTAGGCATTTTGATTAGCATCAGCTCAAGAACTTTGGTAAACATTGGAGCATTAGTTTTTGGAGATTTTGCATTTGCATTTGAAAATTTTGAATTAATTTTGAATTATCTGCCCTTTGCTATTGGGCCTACAGCCTAGGGATTTTAAAGCGATATGTACCCCTCGGTGGGCATCTGGGTGAATTTTTCAAGGCATTCTGTCCAGCGGTGCTTGCTCTGTAGGTCTGGTACAAAATCACGGCCGGATGAATAAATAATAATAATAATAAAAACGTTAACGATTACAATAGGTCTCCTGCCTAAAGGCAAAGGAGCCCTAATTAAAAATCGTTATTTTGAGTTTTTCGGGTTTGACCCGAGACTTGATAGTATGTCGAAAATGCTTCGTAATGGTCAAGGTCACCAAGGTCACGAGGGGTCAAAGGTCATTTGACCCGGTCCGTCACAAGACAAAAAACAAGTTTTTATGGCGAGCTAAGGCGCCGTTGTTATTACCTCTAGGGTGAAAAGGAATTAGTGTTTCTGCTTTGCCCAGACCGATGTATCATATCGCCCAGGTCAGATTTGGTGACAAATATGTCCGCCGTCTGTCCGCAAAGTCTGTCCGCCAAATTACTGTATAGCCATTTTCTCCGAACTATTAAACATACAGAGTTGAGATTTTGCAGACAGCATCCCATTCATTGTGTCTAATGATGCCGTAAAAATCAAGTCATTTGAATTTCAACTTCTGTTCCCATGGCAACCTGAAAATGAAAAAACTTCAATCCAAGATGGCGGCCAAACGGCTAGAGGTATCGATCTGGGACTACCAGACAAAAATGATCGGCATCTCATGACCAACTCACATACCAAATATGGATGCGATTGGGACAATAGTGGTGGAGTTATATGCTGTTTTATGCCGTTTTAGACACATAATGCATTTGTGCAATTTTTCAATGCCATATGGCCGACAAACAATCAAATACTTTTGATATGCATGTAAGAACCGCGAAATGTTAAGCATCCTATGTTGATGCATACTGCCAAGTTTTACTGCCTTCTGTGCAGAATCTGACCAGCTATGCTGTTTATAATGTAGTATCATCAGAATCTGATCGAAATCCAATATGGCGTAAAGCAATACACATTTTGACATGCACCCAAGAACAAAAAATGTTCAACATACCAAGTTACTACGTACTGCCAGATTCTAGCTGCATAGTTGAAATAGTAATGACGCTGCGATTTTTTTGAAAATACATTTTAGTACAAAATAAACAACAGAAGTAAACATCTAGTTATCCGTAACTAATAAAGATATCGCAATATAACCTATGAGCATTAATATTTGAGGTATATTATGTATATCTGCACATTTTACAGCGTTCTGCAGTTCAGCACATTCAGAGTAATGGATTACGCTAAAATGCCTACCCCACAAAATCTGCAAATCTCGATAAACCTCTTCAATCCAATATGGCTCGCCGCGCATCACGTGACTTTTGACATAGGACCAAGAACAGAAAATGTTTAACAAACCAAGGGCCACTTCAGAACAAGCGTCTAAACTGTTGTATGTGCTAAGTTTGGTTTGGCACAAAATGGCAAAGAAGCCCGTGAAAGTTTTTGAAGACAACTTTGCCCAAAAGTAGCGGTCCAATATGGCGGCCATCATATAAAGATAGGCACATTTGACGATGCTACTGTGTAGAAACATGCATAGACACAAAGCATGCAAAGTTTGAAAGCAGTAGCCCTTGTAGTTTTAATGCAGCACATTTTGGGAGGTATGCAGTCAGGATTTTGCTGAAAAACATCACCAAAAACTTCAATCCCAAATAGCGGCCCAAACGGTGCATTTTGCTTTACTTTGAGCCGTCCCAGGCGAAATTGTAGGCATTTTGATTGGCGCATCAGCTCAAGAACTTTGGTAAACATTGGAGCATTAGTTTTGGAGAGATTTGCATTTGCATTTGAAATTTTGAATTAATTTTGAATTATCTGCCCTTTGCTATTGGGCCTACAGCCTAGGGATTTTAAAGCGCGATATGTACCCCTCGGTGGGCATCTGGGTGAATTTTTTCAAGGCATTCTGTCCAGCGGTGCTCTCTGTAGGTCTGGTACAAAATACGGCGGATGAATAAATAATAATAATAATAAAAACATTAACGATTACAATAGGTCTCCTGCCTAAAGGCAAAGGAGCCCTAATTAAAAATCGCTATTTTTGAGTTTTTAATTAACATGGCCTGAGGGACCAATTCTAACCAAGAATCACCAGCAAGAATGTAACCTTGGTCACACAGATTCCGGGTTCCAGAAGGACCAAGTGGCAGTACCAACAAATTTAGAGTGAGTGAGTTGTGTTTTACACTGCTTGCAGCAATATTCCAGCACTATCACAACATCGGTCACCAGAAATGGGCTTAACACATTGTACCCATGTAGGGAATCGAACCTGGGCCTTCGGCGTGACGAAATTACAACAGGTTAAATCCACTGGGCTACCCCACTGTCCCACATATTTAGTTGTGACTAGAAACAGATGCTGCAAGAAGCAGAGTGGTTTCCCCCAGTCAATCTAGAAACCTATGAATGTTGGTTCCAAAACTGGTTTGCCCTGATCGACAGTGTCTCTAGGTTTGTCTGCACCATATCTGTACTCATGGGTTTCAGTCAATGTGACTTTCCTTCCACATCCAGACACAGTCGTGACAGGGTCACTGTCCTAAGTCACTGTAAGTGACATTAAACCTAACTCACTCACTCACTTGAAGATGTGACACTTACATTGAAGTAGGTTTCGCATGAGCATAGGCCTTCACTGCCCACTGCAACTCCACATCTGGCTGAAACACATCATTACAGTTACCATGGTTATGGAACTTCCACACACTTAGTTCTTGGTGTCACCTGACTCATGTCTATTATAGAACTGTAACACCTTTTGTTTAATCTGTAATATGGCTGATGGATGATGCATGATTGGAGGCATGAGAAATCAAATACATTCAGTGAACCTCTTACAAAAATAACTTGGGATCTCTCACACAATTATAATAAAATAGCATTTTTAACAATGACAAAGGTAGTCGTATTGTCACCTGTTGTGCCACATCTATTGCGATGTGCCAAATATTGAATCATTACCTTGGTTACACCCCTACTCATCATATCAATCATAATGATTTATGTCTTAAGTACTCAGTGCACAATCTGACATATATTTGTCATGTTTGTCCTGATTCCTTGAACACTCAAAATTCTTACACAAAAACATACATCGTACTACCAAGTGTACGACTCTCCGGACTCACAACTATTTTCACATAATTTCTATATTTCAGTGTGAAAGATTGAACATGATTTCTTACATCCTTGACTATTCAGTGTTACTCTATTGTATTATCCAGATGACAAATGACATGATGATGAAAATAGATGCTCATCAAAATATTCTGTTCTTTCATGATTGAAACAATCATGATATATTTTGGGTGAGAATGAAGGCAATTTAGTCCTGTGAATATGGTACACTATATGAGAACTGGTTTAATTACTTAATGTCAAGCATTCCTTTTCCAAAGGCAGATTCTGTTCACAACATGGTCAAGTATTGTTGATATTACGGTAGTTTGAAATCTAACTACCACTAATTCAATACAGAGAGCCAGGTCAATCTCTTGAAACCAATTCCTTACTCTTGTCTCAAAATGATATGAATATTTTTCAGCATAAATCAATGATTTATTGGTCGAACTGCAAGTGTCTACATTTATCATGTATAAATTTTGTTCCTCCAAAGAAGTCTTAAAACTGGGAAAAGATTCATTCAGTCATGTTACCTGGTTGACATAATCCTCAGCCTTTGATTTCAGAGCTGAGGCAGCCGACTGCATTCCTCCAATGCCCTGGATAAACAAGAATAAAGTGTGTAACTGTACAGCTGTCACCCTTTCATTTTCATTTACACAAATAAGCAATTGCATTTACAATGATAAGTTCAGCCGTGTCGGTCAGGAAAAGGCATGTCAACATCATTGTAGTCTATGCATGAGTAGTTGTGTTTAACCCCACTCTGAACAGTATTCATGTCATACATCAGCATGTCAAGTTGCAAACATGGTTTGTTGTTTAACGCTGCACTCAGCAATATTCCCGCTATATAGGGGCGATAAAGTCACAAGTGATGCAGGTGTTTATGGACTTTGCTGTGACCCACGAAGCTATAAACATATTTAGAACAAACCAGGATTCGAACCCACGATCACACGTTTCTGGTGTGCACAAGGGACGCAACTCCTTTAACATCCTCTGAATATATTCAGAATTATATGCAGGAACTGCAACCTGTGTCATAAAGTGTCAGACACTCCTCGGAATGACAAACAACTTGATGAGACCCATTCAGTCTGCTATCAGATCTTTTTCAGTCGTTAAGTGAAACTATCGTGACAGCTAATACGACCACTTTCTGAATCTAGTCGTCGCTTCACTAGTCACATTCACCACCAGTATTGTCAGGTGACTGGTGTCATTTTTCTTTGAACGGTTTTCTTAGGAAAATCAAATACTCACCAGGTCTGATAAATTGTAAGACATATTGCCTACTGCCTGTCCTGGTCCTAATTATTCTGTGGTGTATGGTAATCACGAAGCACGTTTTCAAACCCGGAAGTGATATCACAGTTATCGCCCCTGGTCATTTAAAACACGGAAAAACACACACAACAAATCGGGTACTACCACAATATTTCTATCATGTCCTTTTAATCAAAAATCGAAATCATTGAAGCATGTATACAGAAAATAAATTATAAACCCTCAAAGGTGTATCCAGTTTCACTCAATACTTCAGGCTTTTATTGTTTCAAATGAAGCATATAAAATGTTCCTTGGGAACTACTGTATAATGCTTCTCAAGTAGAGATACAAAGATCCAGTTCTTTTGTTTTGTTCACATGTGTTTTGTTACTGGAATTGACTAAACAGATAAAATCAATGCATAGCATTTCTGTTTGGTGTAATTTTGATGTGGCTGCCAATTATCCCCAAACTATCACAAATGTTTGGTAATGTCCTCATGTGAATACTGACTTTGCTATGCTAAACCCTTGAACCTGATTTTGAAGTGGCTGAGAGCTGGGTGTAATATGTCTGTGAACAGAGGGAGGAAAGTGAGCTGTGGACGGTCTAATGCCACACTCAGCAATATTCCAGCTGTATGGCTTTTATTAGTCCAGCATATAACTAGACGACTTTGCACTATACGAAGGTGTGCTCGATGTAGACCTTGGCTGGAATACGAGTTTATTCATATGAACTATATGGCGATGGTCTGTAAATAATCAAGTCTGGACCACACAATCCAGTGATCAACAGCATGAGCATCTATCTACACAGTTGAGATTTGATGTCAACCAAGTCAGCGAGCCTGACCACCAGATCCCATTAGTTGCCCCTTAAGACACACATGGGTTACTGAAGATAAATTCTAAACCGGATTTTCATGGGATGACATGTTTATAAAAATTGAGGAGTGAGGCATTATTTCGTTCCAGAGTCGATTTCTACCTGTAGAATTACCATCGTCCAATGGAATATCTTGCACATATGATTTTGATCATTTCTCAAGCACAAAAGAAGAACTTGTTTTACAGAACCATTTATTCTTCAACATGTTCAACAAAAGCAATGTAACTTACAAAATCTTGAAATCTATAATATAAAATGTAAAAAGACCTGTTTTGCACTCAATAAATCACTGCTGTCATCATGGTCGTACACACAACTTATTTCATTCAACAGGTCTTGCACATCACTGATACGGATTGGCACTTTGTTGGAATTACATCATAATCACAGATACAGCATGAGATCCAGGTAACCTATAACACAGTTATTCATGCATCATTTCTTTATTTCAACTTTTTGACATGATTACATTTGATCTTGTTTCAACACATCATTTATGGTTAACTAGTCAGAGATTTTGTTTAACAACCTTTAACATAAACAGCATTTCACCTATATCACCAAATCAGCTTTAAACTGGCGGAGCTGGCCCAGTGTGAAAGTCATGCATCTATTGCCACCATGTAGATGCATTACAACATACTGGTACTCCATGCCTCACAGACCAACCATTCTCATCTAGTAATTTTGCTTGTGGCAAATGACTTAGGAACATTTTTCATGATTTTAAAATTAAATATTATCAACTTTTTGATCGGACATTCTCCTTTTTACATACTCCATATCAGACAGACTTGACATTCTCATTCACTTGCTTTGTTAGCCAAAATGACTTAGGAAGATTTCCATGATTCCTTCTTAAGTTTTGATAAGACATTCGTCTATCATGTTGTTTATCAGTAACAAATTTTGATACAATGGCATAATGCTCGGAAAAGTTTGGATGTCAATAAGTTTATGTCCTTAGAAATGAAAGATGTGAACCCTTTAAGTATAACATATGTGCTATCCTCTAAGCCATGTAAAGAGTAAGCGGAATTTCTTAATGAATTAGTAAAATGCAGTTGGAAACTGAGTTCTAATCAAGGACACTTTTACGATTGATTAAGATCATTTAATATGGTGCACAAAAAATATTTGCAGAAATTCTCTTAGAGGACAGCAGATTGAAATATTGGCACGAACTACCATTTCCTGCCCCTCTTACAATCAGATGTGTCCATCCTTTCCTTCTAACATTACATGACATAATCCACTGTGCAAATTACAGAATTTTAACCCAACAAGGGTATGAGCTTAAATAGTTAATGTGTCTTTCAATACTCTTATAACATAAAATAACAACATGTTCTGTCCTAGCTTATTGATTTTTATGGAGCTTATCATCCTACCACACTGTTTGAATCTCACATGAACTGTCCAACTGATCAGTTTAAGCATGCACTCATGAACCAGTGCCACCAATTTGTCGAATCAGTTTAACATCTTCTTTTTCCTTCACTGTCTTGATGTACATGTCCATTTCATCTGCAAATTCATTAGGATCAATTTCAGTAGAGTTGATCACATGTCCATATTTGGCGGATATCTCTGCATCAATTTCATCATTACTTTTTACACCCGGGTCGCTGTCCTCAACCTTCCTCTTTCTACTTAAGGGTGGTTTTAAACATAGTTCTGTTCTATCATGTCCCAAATCAGCTGACTCCCCATTTTCTTCAACAGCAAAGGCTTTTTCTCATGAGACTAGCTTTGTACTTAACGATATCTTCAATATAGTAGCTTTGGTTGTGTTGGCTTTATGCTTTTAATCCATGGAATTAGCTCTGCCATTGCAAGCAAAATATCCTTCATTCTTTTCAGGATGCCATTACTTTTGGAAGACGGAGATTGTTTGCTTTCGCAAAATGACGACAAACTGACACAACCAACATCTGACTTCTGATATGACAACCAAGCAAAGTAGGCTGCTATGACAATGATAGCTTCTGGACTTCGGCCACTAACAAGCCAACATTTATCACATATTTGCATCAGCTTTTGGGTTCTTTCAATAACCCCCCTATCAAAATTTGCTTTCTGCAGTGTATGGGCCGTGAGTTGCCCCATGCTCCATCTTGGCAATTCAATTTTCATTATCTGTTTCATACGACGCAACATCAAAATGAAGTCATTGATTGGTAGTCTCCTTGAACTTGTCATTTCCCTTGCAGTGATTGGATACTCATGTCGGCGCAAAACAATATACATACAGCAAGCACCCAAAGCTTCTTTGAACTGTTTGGATCTGTTTCTAACCTCCATGTCTGGATGTTTACATGCATCTTCATATATCATCATTCCTTCTTCCTTCCAAGAACTGCTGATGCCCCCCATCGCACTGCATATGCACGTTATTTCCTCTACACCGATGGGGCTGACAAAGTCACTTTTCTTATCGGCGTCTCTTTTAGCAGCGAGTAAACTTGAGCTTGCCCCTGTAGGCAGGGGCGCCGAGTGACGGAGCGTTGAAGTAACAGTCTGTACTATCCTCGAAAGTTTGGTCAGACACAACCAAACCACACTCGGAACAAATTGATTGTTCGTGCGCTCCTATCTTATCTTTGATTACAGCATCTTCTCCACAGTATGGGCACAACATTGTCAGACGTTAGTTTCCCCTCCTGAAAACGTTTTGACGGCGCCCTCAAATTTTGTAGGGCCGGTGTAACGCAAGCGTGAGCTGGTTCCCGGCTCTCACTGCGCGTCGTCTACTTCAGATAAGAATAGACCGAGCCCAACATGATGTTTCCCAGCTTAGGCAATCTGCCACCAGGGGAGCGCGCGTTGCATACCTTAGAAGCTCCACATCAGTGTTTTGACATGTAGTTGTTACCTTCTCGAGGCGCGACAAGACATTGCTGTGTGGAGCTTGGCACAGCAGCGACGTCGGACTTCTGTTTCCGGGTTCAGCCTCGAATGTGAGCATTCTTGTCGTCTGCTAGACACGGAAATGGCGTGGTGACAGGAATTTACTCTCAACTTTCGCAATGCCCGTACCCCATACTGTACGCACTCTGAAGCAAGCATGTCTTCGCAACATATCAAAGAACATGGATCGACTATGGAGTGCAGACTTCGACCGTCTCTTCGCGGATACCCCACGCCTTTACTATGTTCTGGGCCCATTCGATTACATGAGTGAGTACTCAACATTCTTTGACATTTATTACATAGGTCGGTTTGTTAATTCGTGGTTTATGTTTTGTTACTCCCATCGATTCGCAGAGGCTGTAAAGGTACGAAGTGTTCTGAATGACTTGGCCCTTGTTATCGATTTAAGCTAGGATCCAACTTTCCGAAAAATGTTGTGAAGAGAAATCAAGATTAGAATGTTGTCCTTTATTTAGTTTCTATGTCAATGACGCTGTTTACTGTGCATTTCCTTTTCAGCAAATATTAGCTTTTTACTCAACATTCTTGGCTAAACTTGAACAGGTCTCTAAGGCAATAATTATTAGTTTATTTTCAGATTGAATTTTTCTAGATCATATTCCTATATATAAGTAATAAGAGAACACCGTACCCTAGACATAAATAGACTGCATATCTATCTCTTTCCTGCTATGATCATAGAATTACCACAGATCCATGGACTTTCATTCAGTACAGCATTGGAGCAAGGCTTGACCGAGACAATCAAGAATAGGCCTAGCAGGAGTACTATTGTGCAAATTAGTCTTCCAGAAGTTCAGTAGCAGCAGAGGGCCAAATGCTTGTCAGACAGAAGCTAGGTTTTGTCTTTGAATGGCAGTTAGGGCCTACCTTTAGAATACAGCACAACAAACTTTAAAAATACGTCATAATACCCTTTTATGTAATGTAATGTGATTTTGTTCGAAAGCATGTTCTCGAAACAATGCCCTATGACGCCTGCATGGCAACACGGTTGTCTAGCTCAGCGAGTGCTCCACTCACTGGTATTTTATCTCTACTGGCTATGTTATTGCATAAGCCCAACGATGTTGAGAGTTTCCAGTAGTTGTATACCCGGCCGGATCGCGCCAATTTTGCAAGCACCAGTTTGAAAATTATTTTTTCTCACTAATACGGCTCATATTTATTTGTATTATGGGGTGCTGAGGTGTTATGTTTTGTGTATTATTGTACTTTGTATTTTTAAATTTAGCGAGAATCGCGTTACACCGGTCTGTATTATATATATTCGATTATTTGCATTTTAATACTTTCTTTCACAAAAACGGAAACCCAAAACGCCGAAAGTACACTATGAACTGGTTTAATGTACAAATTGGCCTGGAATTTTGCACTCAAGCCTCTTTCACACGCAACATTTGTTCAGTAATGATTGGTCAAGGCTAACTCACCCTTGTGCCGTCACTACACATGCTCATGTCTCCCTCGTTCCTTAGTCGCGATCCACATTATCCTTACAGTGTTCCCTACATCACTTTTCTGTCACAAAATCACCCCGATTTATATCAAAGCGTGGCATTAATGCATGCACCATGACATCTACTGACTGGCGCTGGCGTCAACAACCTTTTTTTCAGTTTGAGGCATATCGGCCCATTCTTGAAGATTACGGAATGGGACGAGTGTGCTTAAATAACATCGGTCCATTCGGCCATTGTCCGTGGAGATTAAAATCCACGAGACACCAAGTCTACCCGTAACCTTCGTAATTGTCCGTGACCTATTCGATGTGAACAGTGTGGATGTAGCTCAGTCGGTTAGCTGTTTAGCTAACAACCCGAAGGTCGTGGGTTTTGCGTCTGACGGTTTCTCACAAACTGGTTGCTTGTCTTAATGACATCGTGACCCTCACTGCAGAGATCGTCCTCACGAAGTTGTGGTGCTGTATTCTAAAAGGTGCTCCGCCGTTAGGAGGATACACACAAAAGAGAGGAATTTATTAATGTCAGTTTTCTCATAATGAACACAATGAGTTTCAGAGTATATACTTACTCCTTCACTGGAAGTGATTCAAATTCAAATAGACAGACTTGTAAGAAGCTTAGTACAATAAAGTCTGGACAGAAGTGACTCAAATAGCAGACAAATCTGTCAAGAGCCTCTGGCTATAGCTTGAGGCTAGTCTAAAGGCTTTAACCGAAAACCAAGTCACTCAATAGCTAAGGATGAACAGATAAATTATTACATGACAATGATGGTTTATTCATTTCACTCATTTCTGTTTTCTAGCTTCTGAAATGATTCAAGAACTTCTGGACACCCTGTGTGCTGACCACCGAGTAAGAAGGTCACACATGCATCTTCTTCTCACTGGCCGCCTTAAGGAACTGGACTTCAGCAAGTGTTCAAACATGACTAGCATGCTACATCTAGTTGGCATCAGATGCCAGGTGAAATATTCTACTTTGCTAACTTCTGTCCAGGTGTCTGTCTCTTACATATTATACAGCTCTCTAAATGGTTGGTTGGTGTTTAACGCTTCACACTCAGCAATTTTTCAGCTTTATGTCAGCAGTCTGTAAATAATTGAGTCTGGACCAGACAATCCAGTGATCAACCTCTGACAGTGTGCTGTTTATGAATCATGTGAATACTGGATGATATCAACCTATCAGCCATGATCATCATGCATTCATGGGTTAGTACTCATGTATCTTGTTGGACACCAGTCTCCCCTGTTTATTTGATGCTACTACTCCCCTTGCACCTGTGTGGTGTAGTATAAAGAAACCTTGACATTGAACATCAAAGCAGTCCATAAACATCAACAAGTAACAGTACTAAAAGGAAACAATAACAGAGAAAGAATAATTTGAATTTCATTGAATATGCAGGAACATACATTTCATAGTAGCATAATTTTAGTAATAAATATGCAAACATTTCCAGTGAACATTTTGCGAGTGTTCCAAAGCTTCTAACACTTAAAGAGATAGTTATCATGACCTGTAGACTTTAATATATGTGTTATATACACATGCTGAGTTCCTGATTTTTAATCTTAGCACACACACCACTGTTCTTCCTTTTGTTAAAAAAAATGTTTAGCACATATTTTATTCAGCTTGCCCAAGTTTTTGTTTCATTTCATGATTCTTTTCATTGTCTTAAGGTGCTGTCAATTGATATAAATCATAGAGATTGATAATCATTGAATAACTAAGAGCAAAACTGCCAAGAGATTCTGAAAGAAATCAACACATTTCACATACATGTGCATTTCATATTTTGTAGAAGCTGACAAAGTTAGACCTCTCCAACTGCAGTGTAGCCAGCCAAACTGTTCTGTGCAGTATTTTTCAAAGTCTTCCATTGCTTCGCTGGCTGAATCTACGTCAGACAAAGACCAATGACCAGGGTTTTAACCACTATTCTATCTTCATGCAAGAAACTACAACATCTGAATCTATTTGCCTGTCCTGTTACTGATCGAGGAATCACCAACATTTTCAAGGAACCTGAGAATGGTAACAGCTCTTCAAATATGAAGCAGAAGAATACCTGCAGCACCAGTGGTGTGAGTCTGACATACCTGAACATTAGTGCCACAAAGATCAGCAGTAAGGAGCTGTCATCATTCTAAATATGTGTCCCAATCTCCACGTTCTGCTGTATGCAGATGTTATTGATGCCGTGGCTCAGATAAGCAACTCATCAGACCACTAACACAATCTCAAGCTAAGGACACTCAATGCCAGTGGACTCAAATGCAGAGAGGTCAGCTCTTCCAGAGTCGGTACAGCTTCTATGGGTCCCACGCTTGCCCCTTTGTGGACGGAAATTAATTTTACCAAAATGCAAATGATTCAACTTTGCAATACCTCAAAGAATTAAAGCATTTGAATACCTTGGAAATTACAAGTGACCAATGGGGAGATGTGACATTCTTTCGATGGTCTAAAGCCTCTCTTCTTGTCAATAGGCCCCAACATCGGGTCCCTCGGCCTGTATGACATAAAAGATCTTGACATTGGACAACTTGGTGTTCTGTGCCCCAAATTAAAACGACTAAAATGTGTAATGGCAGTGTTTAACTCTGTTGCATTTATTGACACTCCATTATCAGGGAAAGGATCTGAGATCTATTTATAGAGATCTGGACAATCTCATGGTTGTGATTGGAAATGATTGTACTGACTTTAGTGCATCTATGTTTGAACAAATTTTAGAAAATGCAACTGGTCTCTCTTCTGAGCTGCATCTGATCAATGTCCAGTGCATGTCCTCTGATCTGCTCCCTTCAGATCATAGCTGATGCATGGTATGCAGTCTCTGTCTTCCCCTGACTCTGAGTCCTGCAATAGGATCAGTGGGGATGCAATATCAAGACTGATCCGTTGTGAGAACCCCCTTGTGTGCTCTGTGTCTGAGGAACTGTCAGGACACCACCCAACAAGATGTTGATGGTTACAGGAAATATGTGAAAAACACAACCTCCAGCTGTCCATAGTCTGGGAGTAAATATCAGGAATATGAGCTAATGAAGGTTTGATGCTGCTGTTGGTTGCAATCAAGGGTTATGGCTTCCCCTGTAGATAATGAAGCCCTCGACCAGTGTACCAGTGATTGACAGCATGAACAACAACCATGGAATGACAGAAGCACGCGTAGCCAATGTAGATCAAGTGGAAGGTTTACCACAATATTATTTATTAACACAGTTCTTTTACACTGAATTCATGCTGAATTTTGTTGTGTATTTATATTTTATGAATGTTACTTCCAGAAAGTTAACATAGTATTTCATAGAGCTTCATTCTTAAATAATATATATATGTGCTGAATATGTAATGTTTTGAAATATTGATCATTGCGTATAATTGTTAGAATTCTACCTGTATTATATCATTAGCCATAAATTTCTATTTTGGTTGTCATCACACCATAAATCTTTGTGTATTTACAGATGTCCTCTTCACTGCAAAATGGGACTGCATACTACTACCGTATTCCACAATATACGCATGAAATGATAATGTATTGCAATATTTGTTTTGATAACCGGCCCGTAAGGTAAAAAGTATGTGAAGCTTTGTGGATTATTTCTGTGGTTAAAGTTAAAATCTACATAAACTTTCATGCACTGCTGATGTTTCCGCTTGTAATTATTTTGGCAAAATTTGACAAAACAACATACATTGAAAATTGTACAGTAAAGAAAAAATGATTAAAAGACTGCTGTTATCAGAACATTAGGGATTTAGGGTCTTAGTATGTTGAAAATAAGATCTGTATGTACAGTGTCACTCACTGTCAAACACTTTCTCTCCCAATACCTGAATCCCTTTGAGGACCTTACTTCTATTCCAGATCCTATAGGGTTGGGCATTTTTTAAGACACAACTTCCCATTTAGTAGGTGAGGTGAGGTGAAATTGGGTTTTAACGTCGCTGGAGAATATTTTGCTCATATGACACGCGTGCATGTGTGTGTATGTGTAGGCGCGGCTGCTTGTACTAGCCCAGACTGAAGCTGGTTTTATAGTGCTAGCCCACTGAGATACCATGCCGTGAGTGAAGCATGAATACCCCACTCAGACACATTATAATTGACTCCAAGCCGACTCAGTCCTTCTTGTACCCATTAATGCTGAGCTTCAGGCAGGGACCAACAAGTACCATATTTTAACGCTCTTTTGGTATGACGCTGTCGGGGATCAAACCCCGCGACCTTCCGGCTCTCGGGCGGACGCTTCCAACCACTACACCATGGAGGCGGTCTCCCATTTATAGAGTCTATCTTGTTGTGGTATATATCACTTATGACGCCACATCCGGGCTAGATATTACTAGTTGCACCTTTAGGCCTCACATAGTAGCATCCATTACCACGCATGGGCTAACACATTGTTGTCATTTCCCTCAAGGGAAGTCACTTCCATTACATGTTAGTGATGTAGGTGTATAGGCGATGTATCCCTTTGGTACTAATGTCTCCTATGGCATGATTTCCCAGTGTACATTGCTTAATCCGGATACTAACATGGAGAAACGCTTATGTCACCTTTGACCTGTGATTCCAGGCATTAGCCAGTGATCTGCCCACCACAGGTAGATGAGTATGCACGGATCAACTCACTTGAGTTTTTATCGGGTGTTTATGAAACTTTAACAACTCTTCTACTTCACAAGAGAATGTGGAGGAGATGTTACTGGGGTACTGTCACTATGCTCTAAGGAGAAGGAGAGTATAGTCTCCAGAGATGGGTCTGTACATCTTTAAGATGGTCCAAAGAAGCTACATTGTTAAAATAAAATTATTTTTTTCAATGTTTACATCTAGGCACACAGGAAAGAAGTGAATGACCTTTTACTGCTGCATCTGGCGAGGATAGTGTTTGCCTGATGACTATTTAATATGTACGTGAGTGGAAACATGATTTGAAAGTTTTCATTGTGTGGGTGACCTACCAAATAGGGAATTTGTGGCCAATGATGTAAAAGAGGTTAAGTATTCAGATGAATTACATACTGCAAGAAATGATGTCGCTTGTTATTTGTCATTTTGAGGGAATGTTGAGTGGTCATGTTGATATCTGAGCTTTCATTTGTTTTCTCAGAACTTATTATAGCATTTACTATGCAATTGAGTGATTAATTGCAAGATATTTTGTTCATTATGTGCATTGATCATATTGATGAGATCTTTGCTGAAATACTTTCCTTTAATTGGTCCTTTATAAAGTTTGGTTTCATTGTGCTTTCAAACCTGAAAGTGTCTTTAAATTAAAAAGTCAAATTTTTGAAAAGGTCCCAAAACATGAAAATGTGAATTCACCAAGATCAACTTTATATAATATGAGCACACAATCACAAAGAATGCTTCCTGTAGATTTTGTTATCAATAGCAATACAATTTGGCATTACTCAATGTCAGCCATGGAAACTCACAATGCATCAACTGTTGGATCAAACTTTGAAGCTTTAGTGTACACCTTTGTGAATCAGGTAATGAGTACCATTGTGAACCTGGGAAATGAAAAATGTCAGATTTTTGTGCCTCACTCTTTACATTTCATTAACTGTTTCCATAAGGTGGTGCAGGTTTTGTCTCCACATTTTTATGTAGCATGATATGAAAGTGTTGAGGAGACTACAAAATTACTCCAGCCATGGTGTCCTGCTACCAGATATAGCACTTAGAGGCTGCAGTTTGCATCATCAGTGTAGATGTATATACCGGGTGTTCAACACTAATAACTGGTTACATGAATTCACTCGTGATATTCTTGTACCAGTGCATCATCCACAGAACATGTAGTCATACAAACTATGGTACACAAGAGTACAGCATTTAGAAACCTATTTTATCATGTTAAACTATATTCAGATATATATTTATTTTTTACCAATCGGATATCATGTATAATATCTGCTTATGAAAGATCTGAAGGATCAAACATATGATATATGTGAGCCATTGATATTTTATATCTAGAACACTGTTGATATTTCTCGTGAACAGGTCAAGTGTTATATTCTTTTTAGCCAGGACAGGCATTGTATACTGCTATATCAAACTGTTTTATCAATACTAAAAGTAACAATAAATACCAGTAGTCAGGGAATTCAATTTTAAAAACATTTAATGGGATCAGCCTTGTTCCTATTTAGCATTGGGTTGATTATTGTATGGTTCTTTTTTATCTGACCACATAATAGCAGCTTTATGTTGTCAATCAATATATGTATTGGCATGTCAGGTTGTTTTCGAGGTCGGGTATATTTATACAAAACTTATAGTCAATGAAACTCCCAATTTTCTTAGCTGACATTAATAATGGTTTGTGTTAGATAATGTCACAGCATATTGTCTTTCAAATCTTTTCATTTTGCAACACTTCAGAATCCATCTGGTCAAATATTTCCTGAATGTGACAGGATAGTAAACATGGCCGCTTTGGGTAGCCATATTATAATGATATCCAGTAGGCTGGGTGTTTACAGTGAGGTATGTTGATATATCTAATGGTATCAATGTGTATAGTCCATATACAGTAACAGTGAATAATGTATGGAACCACTGGAAGGTTGTTTTTCTTTAAGGCCATGTTTCTATCTAATACTTTTACAAGGTAATCTACTGTCGAAAGTGAGCTACATCACCTATATTATTGCCTACACGCTGTGCAGGTATCACTATTGGAAACAAACACTGCTCATTGACCACGCTAAGACAATATGGCTATTAACATTAATTTCACACTAGTTATCTTGTTTTTTACGCCCAGTATAATGGTCACAGCCTTGTATTTTGTGCATAAATCAGTTTTATCCAGACAATGGCTAATAAAACAAATATATTTTACCCTAGGCCATAATAAAATAATTATTACATTAAACTCCTTGTCTCTCTTATTACTAATAAGGAGCAGCAGGGTTGTCCTGTAAGTTAAAGCATTTGTTCGCCATGCCAAAGACTCTCGGTTC